ATTTCGAAACATTGCATATTATTTAATTTGTAAGACTTATATACTGGTTTAAATTTATTAATATAATTTTTAATAATATTACTATTTTTTATTTTTAATAATCTAACATCGCCTAAATTATAAGATAATACAATATTTTTAATATCTAATGGTAAATCATAAAATATCATAATATATTTAAATCTTTATTTTATTTTAAATGCTTTTTCAAATCTAACATAAAACATATTATTAACATCTTTGGAATTCATATTAACATAAAAGAAGGAGTAGGGCTTATCATCTACCGCTTTATGATACATATTTAACAGTTGCTCTTTATCAACGATGGCGGAGTTTTCCTCAATGAATGACATTAACTCTGATACATTCTTTAACTTGAAGATATACAACGAACTAGAATTCAACCTAATGATTGGAGCAAGGACACGATATTTTTGAACACTTAAGCAAAAACTAATGGCGTCGTGTCTGCCTCTCGTTGCCAGTCCATGAAGTAACTTACTATATCTAACAAATTTAGGGTCGTCTGCAAAATCATCAACAATGATTAAAATTGAATGTAGTTTCTTCATCTTCTGCTCTTTCATGTAGTGAATAATCTTTCTTTGTGTGTTAATTATTTCTTCTTCAGGTTGGTAGGTGTCATAATATAACTTTTCTTTTTCATCATCAACCTTCATATTAGTTTCTTGATATTTCTTGACTTCAACGAAGGTAGGGTCATTATGTACGCTCGGACTAAAAATGAATATACGGGCGAAGCAGTCCCTATAAACATTTAGGATAAGGTTTTGAATTAAAACTGTTTTACCGCCCGTTGATGAAGCAACAACAATTGAGCGAAAAGGTAGTGATGGTACATGTTCATATTTAGATTGTTTGAATTCATAATCAGTTATGTTTATTGGTTTTATTATTGGAACTTCTGACATAATAGAATAATATTAAACATATATAGAAAATAATTTAATATGATTTATTGTATGAAAACATTGTTATGATATGATTTGGGGTCTATCATAGTAGAACAGGCTTTTTCATCAACTTCAATCAATCAGCATTGAAGCTAATTAGTTTTGATGCATTTGTAAAGAAAACCCAATTGCTGTGCCCTCCGAGTATTCTAACTTGCATGACATAATAAGATTAATTTGATTAATTTATCTTATTATTTAATATGGAAAGGAGTTATTCGGATTATATTGATATAATAGAAGAGGTAGAGAAAGTAGAACAAGTTGTAATAACTGATAGTAAATGTAAGAAAGTATGCTATTATACATTAGAATTAATTAAGTTAGTGATACAATATATCAAAAATAAAAATGTAAATCTTAATATACATGGGAAGAAAGAAAAACAAAAAGAATAAGACAGAATCAACTGTTTCTTCAACAGATGGTGATAGTGAAGAAGTTATTAATCAAACAGCAGTTATTGAGTTTGCTTGTCCGATGTGTAAGAAGATGTTAGAGATGAAGAATGAAATAGAAATATCAAAGAAAGGGAACTGCAAATGCAGTTGTATACCAGTTGGTTTTAAAATAAGTAAATCAGATAAAAAAATGAATATTGATAAATCCAAAGACGGTGATATAAATTTAGAAACAGACGTCCATAATATAGCTATACGCTTTGGGAGGGGAGTTACTCCATCCGATAATGGAGAAAATGAAACACAGGAAACTATACGAGAAATGATGAAAAATTAGTATTTAAAGAGTAGATTTAACATAATTGCAACATTTAGTTTTAAAAGTTTAGTTTTATAATATAGTATATATATATGGAAGAACATTTAGAGAACATTGACAGTAGTTTGGAGTTGTTGTTTCCAAGATTAGAAAAAGTGTTGGAGCAAAATGAAAACATTCTGAACATCTTAAAGAGCATGAATATTAAACCTACATATAATAACAATAACAATTATCAAGCAAAAGAAGTAGATAGAGACAGTAGCGAATACAAAAATAAACGAAACATTTATGTTAAAAAACTGAATGAAAAAGTCATAAAAGAACCTAAACAATCAAGTCTGGATTACTATCAAGTCAAGTATAAAGAAGATACCAAGAAATACGTTTAATCATTAACTAACAATATTTCGTGTCTCAAAAGCGGTTTGTTTATTTCTGCTACTTTGTAAGTTTTATTACCCATAATATCATATTCAATTTTATCAATATTGAATATTTTATTAGACCATTTAGAGTTATACTCCTTTCTGTCGGTGTAATTGCCCCTTTTCTTTTGGAACACTTTGACCTTATCATTTACTACTATTCTTGGATATTTTCTTTTGTTCTTTTCTCTCAGTTTGAGATTGACTTTTACATTTATTTCATTGTCGTCCTTGTGTGCTTCAGACGGTGTCATCCTTGTTGATGAGTGTGATGTGCTGTTATACTGTTTCAATGCTGGCGTTAGGGCGTCGGTCCATTTCATGTTGTTAAACCTAACTCTATCGTGAATTTTGTTTTTCATAGTCCTAATAAAACGCTCGGCTACGTTTGCGTGTGTCTTCGTGACGATGTGGTTTATTCCTTCACTGTTGAAGAAATCCTGAACTTGATTTTTAGTTGCAAACGCTCCGTCGTCATCAGAATACACGGACATCGGATAACCCATCTTTTTAAAGCTTGCTCTCAACGCCTTCAAAACGTGCTCTCCGTCTCTTTCCTCCATCGGTATTACATCAGCTAATTTACTGAAGATGTCAATCACGACTAAAGCATACTGTGGTACGTTCTTGTCTTTTGCTAAGGGTGACATATGCATTATGTCTATTTGATATTCATATCGCGCGAATGGAGCGGTATAGGAATTAGTACCTCTATAATTTTTGATTTGTTTATTTGGTTGTTTCTTTAAGAAAGACTTTACATCGTCTATTGTTATTGATGGGTCTTCTTCCTTTGCCTTCTTGTGTGTCGCTTGTGTGCTTCCGAAACCCTCGTCTAAGTCGTAATAGATGTTGCTGATTATTTGGTCTTTTGTTAATCTCGCCATTATATTAAATTGTTAGAAAATATTTTTTCAATATAAACCCCGCCCCTTAACATAAAATAAAAAACTACTTAAAGAAATATTAACTTATTATATTAAGTGAAAATATGACTGAACATGTCGGAGTGATTGTTGACTTATCAAACTGGGTGCTATCAGACGAAGAAGATGATGTTAATGACAGTTATAAAAAGGAATTAGATGACGAGTTAAACAAAATAAAGGATTTCGTCAAAAGACACCCTTTGCCATCAGTTGATGAAAACGAAGAATTCTGGAAAGATGTTATTAACAGGTTTAGGGATAATAGCGGATTAAACTTGATGACAATATACTCATTTGTTAGGTTTGACATCATGAAAGAAATGTATGAACACCTAACAGATGAAGTCATCATAAAAGACTGTGGTAAAAAGTTAAACCGAGATGGACAGTTTAATGCTATGATTATTAATCACTATATCTTATCGGGAGCGATACGGAAACTAAACACAGAAGACAGTCTAGTAGATGGACAGATGCGAATTATTGAATTCTGGTGGGATGGAATAGGTGGATGGAAAGCGTGAGTGATTTAGTTTAATGATATTATTCAATTATAATATGATTAAACCTAGTTTTTTTTAATCTAACAATGAGGTTAAGACATTTAAATTAAACCTGAAACCCAGACCAGCCGACCAGCAACCCCTAGCCAAAACTACTTAAAGAGAAAAAGCCTTATATATTAAGAGAAAATGAGTAAGGGTAAAATGTCAGAGAATAATTTTATGGTTGAGAATTGCGCTAGCTTACCTGAAGGCTTAGTTTCAATCATCACTACTTACATTAATGGTAGTGAAGGGTGGCGAAGACTGAAACAATGTGATGCTTTAAGAGAATTACAAAGGAAATGGAAACCGTCTATTTACACTGAACGAGTAGGAGAAAGTAGATATTATGTTGAGATTCGCAATAAATGTTTAAAAGGTGATAAAGCGCTTTCATATGCGTTGAAACCACCAAAAGAATTATTAAGAATGATGAAGTATGATGATGAAATACAGGTTGGAATAGAAGTTAGTTCGAAAATTATGTATCATAATAATATTTGCAGATGTCGTTATTATTCATCATCTAAACAGAATAAGATTTCAAGTAGAGCGTCATTGCAATACCATATTGAACAAGCAGTTGAAGAAATAAAACAGACTATGAAACGAAACGAAATCATTACTATCGAACATGTTACAATTGAAATTTATAGAAAACAGAAACAATGATTTCATGGTTTAATCATAATATTTAATTATAATATGATTAAACAGTGTAAACTTTTATAACCTTTCATTATACTGTAATTTTAACCTATAACAAAATTTCATTAACAAAACATATATCAAAACAAATACACCACCAACGCCCCAGAACTTGATAACTACTAAAAGGGCTACCTCTTTCAAATGAAAAAAATGTTTGCCCCTAGCCCAACAATGAACAAGGGGGGCAATTACCCAAATGATTACCTTAACGAAAACGATAAATAAGCTCCCCAAAACACCCCTTTTCAAAACGAATAAGGGGGAACACAGATTTGAGATGAACATAAAAACCATAACAGGCAACCATCAACAGGCCACCCCCTGGCTAGCCCCTTTTCTCCATTTTTTCCCCCTCCCCTTCCCCCGCCCCAGCCCACCCAAAAAGGTGCACCCTCTGCAGAAAGAGGGTGACCATTACTGCAAGGCCGTTACCCTTATTTAGCCGTGTTTAACCGTTTTTAGCCGTCTTTAACCGTTTTTAGCCGTTTTTATCAGTTTTTAGTAGTATATACCAGTAATTACCCTTACATATGTGCATTTATTTGTATTGGGAAAAGCTCAAAAGGGCAAACATGGAACAAAGGGGATTTTTTTTTTCAAATCACTGGAGCTTCAAATCACGGTGGCATCACCACCGCCGAGAAATGCAGGGGCCCTTGTTGCAACCATTGAGCACACATCCGCTTTTTCAGGGAGAAGTTGGCGGTCACATGATTGCTGAGCCAGCTGAACAGCTGCCCACAAACTGCCCTTGCTAAAGCTGCCATGAACTTGCAGTAATGCTTGTTGCCCCCCCTCTTAACGACTCTATGAAAAAGGCTGCCAAGTCGCAGGGATCGACATCGACGTCCCACTCAAAAAATTCAAAGCCCATCTCCAAGGCGGCATTTGTCACCTGGTCCAGCAAAGGAGTTTCAGACCACAAAGCCACAAAGTCCGGTACAAAACATACTTGAAAAGTTGATATGGGTTTACTGACCTGCTGAGTGGACTGGTAAAAAGCAGTTCACACTTTTTTGGGCTCCACTGCAGTAAAGGGAAAATCCGCCCAAACAAAAAGATTAAAGTTCACCCACTCAGCTGGTAAGTTTACAAGACAGCTGCTTTCAACTGGGGCAAACAAATCCTCCCGCACAAACCTTCACTCGGCGCCTGATTTCCACTCAACGCTTCTGCGGCATTCCCGTCACATGGCGGCGCAAGTGAGCAGTGTTTTTTTTCTTGCTCCGGCCCTTATCATTTTTTGCGCCTACGCCCAGCCTACGCTCTGCCTACGCGCGCGTATGTTTCCCCAACCTGGATGCCTACGCCAGACTCATCCGACCATGCCCGTGTGCCTACGCGGGCCTACGCGGCAGCCTTGTTTCTGACCCAGGAAGTATTTGTTATCAAAGGAAGTTTCGTCAGAATCACCTGTTCTGCGCGCAGGCTCGCCGCGGTCTCGCTGCGGGCTCGCCGCGGGTTCGGAAAGTTTCCCACTGTCCTGCGCGCGCAAACAAAGTCGGCCTGGTGGGCAACCGTTGGGAGATAGCGCATTATGCCTACGCGCTGCCTACGCCGTGCCTACGCGCGCCTACGCGAAATCTGGCATGTTTTTTGGGCAAGCTGGGCGCCTGAACTTGGCTACTTGGCACTGGGTTTCTGGGGCAGTGCAAGGATCCGGCATTGCTCCCCGACAATCTCGTCTTCTCTTCCCGCTGCCACGCCATGCCGCAACATGAGGCAATGTCTGCAATCAAATGCCCTACTGTAAGTGCCTATGCGGTTGCCTACGCAGCAGTCCTACAACTTGCACCTACGCAAAATGCCTACGCACGCCTACGCTGTTGTGTCCCTGTCAGCAAAATGCCTACGCGGCAAACAAGCAATGTCAACCCAAAATTGCGTGTCTTCATTTTGGAAAAAAACACTGCTCACCTGTTTCATCCGCTTGGCTGCTTGAGGGTTCGTATGACTTGCCGATTGAACAGACTAACACGTAGGGATATAACCGCTAATCAGCAACCAAACACCCCACGTGTCATAATTCAGTCGCCTATATAAGAAGTAGCCTTCTTTTCCTTGTGTCTCGGATTTGGGGTCTTCTGTGGCCACCGTTTCTGCGCTAGGTTTCTTTGCGGTTTAAAACCTGGAGCCTGCTTTGGTGCAAAAACACGCTTGACATTAATTGGGCTTCGCGCTTGCAAAGCTCAAGCCGTGACAAGCTGAGCAGTTTCGACTACCCGTGCTTCGGATAACGTTTCTGCGCCCAAACCCTGCGATAGTGGCCTAGGCAGCTGTTCATGGCGCGTCAGGCCAACCCAAACGCTCGCGTCAAGTCATCCCAAAGACCTAAGAAATAGGAGAACCGCGCAACTAGCCGGCCCAGCATTCACGACATATACACTTATATACTTTCTTGTGCGCAGCTTTTGCGCGAGGTTGCGCCAGGCTTTCATAATCCAAGTAGCGAGCTTTGCCAACAAAGCCTTTTTGCGCCATGCCGTGTAGCCTGAAGGTGTGAATGCACGTAGCATGATGTTAACACTAGATTAACAAACAGCGCCATGTTCTCTTCCAGTTTCCAGCTGGCAATTAGATTCCTAATTTCGTAGCCCAAAGTGCGCCCATGCCCCCCCGGATCAAAAACAAACTTCCCAGAATATCTTCCTGTGCAGTTTAATTATTGCAGGCGTTGAGTCTAACAAAAACAAAATCGACTCAACGCCTGCAATAATTTTCCTTGGTTCCAACCTCGGTGGCCAAAAGTGGTATTGCCTGAGCTCAATGGCTTGTCGAACACGTTGTTCCCAGCAGGGTTGATTAATTAGGAGGTGACTGCTTTGATTCTGGGAGTGCTGGGCCTTGTGGGTGCCAGGAGAGCTTGGATCACATAGCTTTTCGCAATGATCATTTGCTCCAAAAATGTCTGCCAACAGCTCTCTCCAGCCCAGGCCTGGTATGGCATGGCGTCCGGTTCCTCATCGCAGCGCCGGAAGTTCGCAAGGCCATCCATGGCCTGGCAACCCCTGGAGCTTTGAAATTGGACTACGTGCGTCGGGGCACAAGTGGAGCCAAAAACTTAGGACCCCAAGAGACAAAAAGCAATGGGGAAACAAGGTGACAGGACTGGCAGCTTTGTGTGTGTGTTAGTGGGTGTGCGCGTGTGTTTGTGTATGTGTGTGTGTTTTTATGTGTGTGTGTGTGTTTGCGTGTATGTGGTTTGCAGTGTGTGCGTGTGTATTTGTGTGTGTGCGATCTGGCTTTAAAGTCCCCAGTCCAGACTATCCTTGAATGTGTATCCCTTAAGTATCCCCGCGAGTGCTCGACGCAGCAGGGTCACTTTTGTTCCATCCGCTTGGTCGCTATGCTACAACCTAATGGGGGTCCTTGAGCCAAAAACACCCAACACATCAACAAGGCACTAAAAGCATGACAAACCTCGGGATGCGTTCGCGCCCCCCCAAATGACGCCGCCAGCGTGTGGAAAAGTACCCTCGCTCCTTCAGAGCATTCCGAGAAAACAACAGCACACGAAACGAACGACAGCCTTGGTGTGGCTCGAAAGATCTTCCCTTCCGGTAGCCATTTGGCTTGAGGCACGGTTGTATACCTATGCAACGTCGGTGCCCTATCCTACATGATTGGCCAACCACGGTTGATCCTACTGGCTTGGCACTCAAAATTCAAATCTCTAATGCACGAGTGGCGCATTGGCACATTGCCCACTCAGGTCACTTAGGACCTTGGCCAAATGCAAAAGAACTCGTCAGCCATGTGGTGCCACAGCACTCACGTAGGGACCATGGGAGAACGGAAGCCGGACCCACCACGCAGGATCGGCACTCCAGCCGCGAACGTGCAAACGTGCAAGAACTAATTGCGTCATATTCGCATCGAATGAAGGATGCGCTCATCCCATTGAGGAGGTCAAAGCGCCCAGGAATCCTGGTACACCGGACCAACCCTCTTGGGAGAAGAAGCCCAATTGACAGCAAGGGAACCTCACCGTCGGGGCACTTGAGCCCATCATTCCATGCAGATGCCATAGCACAGGTGGTTGACTCAATCCCGGACATCACGACGATGCCCAGAATCCCGGACGTCTCGTCGATCGATGTCACGAGGGTCACGACGGAGTTCAACGCGAGGTCTCCACTCCGAACCACCTGTCTTCCCTTTGCCGTGGCCATTGTTCTTGCCACGGATGATTTTGTCCGCGCGACTGTTCACCACCAGAACGTTCGTCAGCACTGCCGGATCGAACAGAGGAATCCTCTGTCGTCACGCGGGCGCGTGATGAACTGGATGATGTGCCAAACTCCTGCGTCTTCTCCCGGGACCCGGAAGAACCCTTTGGTCTGGGTGCAGGCTTTGACTTGCTGGTGGGTGCGCCAGCCCCACTAGGGGGCGCGCCACCTGCAGTCGCTCTTGGGGACCCGTTGCCGATCCGAAGCTTGTTATTGACCTCAACCGCCATGGCAAACTGCAGCCTCGATCGTGTGCTCTTGGATTGATCAAAAGCATCACTGGTCCGCCACCCCTTCCACTTCTCAAGCCTCGCTACCTGAGTTGGCACCAAGTACAAGTCATGGTACTCGCACACAATCAAGCACGCGTGCTTGGCCTTGTCAATCATGAAATTGACGAAGGCTTCGAGGGGAATGTTGCCGTGGTTGAGACCTCCATCGGCGCCCCCCAGCTTGTGAAAATAGGAGTAGACCGAGAATCCTGTGATGGCCCCAATGGCCTTGTTCATTGTGCTCGAAAGGACACGGATTCTCTTGTCTCCCAAATTCACGTCTCCGGTTCGCCGGGCACTGTACTCCTCCTGAGCATCGTCGTGGAGGCTCTGCAATTGGTCCGCCGACAGACCACCTAGAGGCCCCGACGGTGCGCAAAGCGCACGTTGCGCCGCAAAAGGCATCAAGGGCATGGGAACGTCGTTTTCTCAACAAAACGCACTGCTTCGCGGCAATACGCATCAATTTCTCGTTTCTTCTCGGCAAATCGCATCAATATTCTCGATGAAACGCATCAAGATCAGACTCGGGGGAAAAACGACGCCGTTTGTAGACACGAAGCGCTTTGCACACGTTTGGGCCCTCTAGGCAGCATGGGTGAAGTACGCCACGAGCTTCATGTAGTACTGCGCGAGGAAGAACATGTACTTGGACTTCCGGGCGTGAACGATATCCTCGTCCGAGGGATCACGCCCCCTGCGTCGCTCTGCATCAACGTGTTGTTCCTTGCACTCCAAGTCCCACTTGCAGTTGAAGTCCTCCTCGGCTGTCAGCACTACATCCCCTGCCGCATCCACGTCAAGGGTGTTCGGGTAGAAGTGGAATGTGCCCACGATGCCACGCTCGATCCGCTGGACCTTCGTGGCATAGTCCTCTTTCAGCAAGGGCAAATAGTCCTTGAAGGCTTGTGTCAGCGTTCTCAAGACGCAAAGATGTGCAATAGTGGCCTCAGCGGGGACATCCAAGCAGATCGCCACGACCTCTTCATCCATCCAGGTCGGGTGCCAGTGCTCTCGTCGGCCTGTGCAAATTGCTCATCCAAGCTCTGGCTCAGTTACTTTCTGAGCTCCTCTGCTCGATCCTTCTCCACCCTCAGTTTCTTGAGCATTTCCTGCTTGGCCGACAACAGCGGGGACTTAGCCTCGTCGCCCTCATCGATGACGACGAACTTCTTGGCTTCGTCTTCGGCTTCCCGCCGCGACTCACGCACCATCTTCTCGATGTCGACACCCTCTGCGGCCCGCTCGGCATCCAGATTTTCCCGCTGCTGCGAAAGGATGTTCTTGGACTTGCCATTATAAGTCACAAAACGTCCATCACAAAGAAGGCAATAGGAACAGCAAGCAGGGGTCTCCTTGAGACAACCAGGGCATAGCCGGCACTCTTCCTCGTAACACCGCGAGTTGGCAGGACGGCAATGCTGCAATACCTTGGCGCGCAGCAAGCTGAGATCGGAGGAATCCTCCGCCCCTTCTCCGCGCGTTTCCATTTAGAGAGATCATCTCGTCTCGGAATCCGGGATCGAGATCCTGACTCTCCCAACTCATGTTGGCCGCGTTCACAAGCAATTCAACGGAGCCGCTCCTCTTTGCATCCCTGAAGCCCATGACGATCTCGCTCTCAAATTTCCTGCTCGTGACAAGGATTGGAAGGTGAGCAATACCGCCTCCTCGTTGGTAGGTCCAAACGTTCTTCACCTTCTCGAATTTCATGGGCCCAAACAACGCGCACCCGGGACACTTCGCGCGACTCGAGAATTCGGTCAAGCGCGGCTTCATTTGAGGATTTTAGGTTTGGGCTTAGGTTCCAATGACCCCCCACTTAGGGTTCTAGGTCTGGGTTTAGGTTCCAATGACCCACCATCCAGGGTTTTAGGTCTGGGTTTGGGTTCCAATGACCCACCGCTTAGGGTTCTGGGTTTGGGTTTAGGTTTCAATGACCCGCCACTTAGGGTTTTAGGTCTGGGTCCAGGTTCCAATGACCCACCGTCCAGGGTTTTAGGTTTGGGTTCCAATGACCCACCACTTGGGGTTTGCCTCATGGCCTGCCTGCCTCATGGCGCCTTCTCAGCACACGCCGTGCAGCTAGCTTATTTGCAAACCTCGCTGGTCCTGCTGCGCCTAAAGTAGTGTGCATGCGTTGCTTGTGAGCCTGTGTGTGTGTGTAGGTGGCGTGCCTGTGCTGGCGTGCCTGCACCCGTGCCTACATCCTGCGCCTGCGCCTGTGCCTCCTCAAGCCCGACAACCAAACGAAGCCACACTCGACCAGAAAACGAAGCCACACTCGACCAAAAAAAGAAGCCACCCTCGACCCCGCCCCCCTCCATGAGCCGTCATATTTTGACTTGCAAAGTTCATGAAACCTGGGGGAGCCACGTCGAGCTCGAACTCCACAAGCACAGAGTAGTAGGCCCCCTTGTGCTTGTGTGCAACGTTCGCCTCTCGGACCCTGTTCAGGAAGTCCTGGTCGGTGGATCGCGATGGTGGAAAGATCATCTTCAGCCTGGGAACAACCTCCTTCAAGGCAGCCACGATGTGCCAAAAGGTGGGTGGTCCTTGCTCCTCGCTTATTCCGTCATCATTCGACCCTTCGCTCTCCATGATCTCAACAATCAACTTCGAAATCTCCTCAGGCTGGTCACGCCAGTCAAAAACCTTCACGTCCCTCATCTTGTTGAACTGCCGTCGAGCTGCTCGTTGGCGATGGGCTGAATCACTGGGCATGCCTTTGGGACCAGTCCGGGATCCGGATCTGGCCGCCTTGGACTTGCCACTTCTTCTACCCCACCTATCTTTGCGGGCACTGTCTGAGGATGCTTCCCCAGCTTCAGCTTTCCGCTTGACTCCAAAATCTGAAGATCCTCGAGCTTGGTGCAGTCCAAACCTGTGTGGTCTCCGCAAAATGCACATTGGGGATAATTCAGCATGATCTCGACGCCGTCGATGATCTTGGCCCTCTTCGCCTTCTCGTCGTCGGACAAATCCTGGTCGTCGACGTCCATCTCGTCGCCAGACCTCTTCGTGGACTTGCGATGGGTCGGGGATCCCGATCCCTCCGCTTCGCCCTGAGAAGGTGAAGCTTCTTCTTGTTGATCATCCTCTTGCTCATCTTCCTCGGCATCCATTGGCTCAGGCTGAGTGGAGCTCTCTGACTGGGCCATGCATTGTCCTGAAGACGGTTGGTGGAGCCTTAGCCCTCTTCCGATTTTTCTCGGGAAAGTGCGTGTTGGGATCCGACACGTACGCATCCATCGACCTTTCCAAGCCATGGAGAGCCTCGTCAATGTTTCCCCACTGGGAGAACTCCTCAGGGTACATCAGCGCAAGCGAGGATCTCCTCGTTTCTGGACACCTGGAAAATCACCCATCTTGCCCTCACCGTAGATGTGGCGTAGCCACCCAGCCAACACCACGTTTCCAGGGTCCGCCCAGTAGGTCACAATTAGCTTGTCTTGAAAATCTCCCATATCGATGCCGGGGGTGCCGACTCGATAGGT